AAGCGTATTGCATTCACTTGAGGAAAAAAATCTACTCTGTTTTTCTGAATTAACGAGTTAATTATCTCAGAATTACGAGATATTTTTTCATGAAAAAAGGTTTTTGCTCTGTTTTTCTAAATTAACGAGTTAATTATCTCAGAATTATGAGATATTTTTTCAAGAAAAAAAAGTTTTTGCTCTGTTTTTCTGAATTAACAAGTTAATTATCTCAAAATTATGAGATATTTTTTCTTGAAAAACATTTTTTTCACTCTGTTTTTATGAATTGAGTTACTCATAATTTTGTCATTAATTCAGAAAAACAGAGCAAAAACTTTTTTTCATGAAAAATCATCTCGTAATTCTGAGATAATTAACTCGTTAATTCAGAAAAACAGAGCAAAAACTTTTTTCCCATGAAAAATTATCTCGTAATTCTGAGATAATTAACTCGTTAATTCAGAAAAACAGAGCAAAAACTTTTTTCATGAAAAATCATCTCGTAATTCTGAGATAATTAACTCGTTAATTCAGAAAAACAGAGCAAAAACTTTTTTCATGAAAAATCATCTCGTAATTCTGAGATAATTAACTCGTTAATTCAGAAAAACAGAGCAAAAAATCTTTTCCCATGAAAAATTATCTCGTAATTCTGAGATAATTGACTCGTTAATTCAGAAAAACAGAGCAAAAACTTTTTTTCCGTGAAAAATCATCTCGTAATTCTGAGATAATTAACTCGTTAATTCAGAAAAACAGAGCAAAAACTTTTTTCCGTGAAAAATTATCTCGTAATTCTGAGATAATTGACTCGTTAATTCAGAAAAACAGAGCAAAAACTTTTTTCCGTGAAAAATCATCTCGTAATTCTGAGATAATTAACTCGTTAATTCAGAAAAACAGAGCAAAAACTTTTTTCCGTGAAAAATTATCTCGTAATTCTGAGATAATTAACTCGTTAATTCAGAAAAACAGATTTTTTTAGATTTTTTTCCTCAAGTGAATGCAATACGCTTCCGTACAGTAGGAATGACTCAAGCCCAGTAAATCCCTGAACTGGTCCCAGTGAGTCGTTAGGTGATGTGACGGTGGTGTTTTACTCGAGACGAATGGCTGTGGAATCTGCATGCGATGTGTTCGGCCGCTCTTCACGCTCTTTAAAAGCCTGGTTAAAGCACTTGTAAATATTCAATACCTGTCCTATCTCCATCAAGACCTCAGATTCTCCTGCAGCGTAATGGGATTCAAAGACCTACATTCTTCCGCAGAGTTGCCTTGGAAACAAAGTTCTCCGGGCTGTTTTTTTTTCCCTCTGTTACCGGAGATACGGCAGATCAATGGAGCGAATCCTCCGAGACAGAGACAGGAACGCTCCGCCACACACTCTCCACTGAGAAAAGCCACCGTGTCCCAGTTAGCACTGAATACACACACAGTTATTCCTCATCGCGGGCGGATCGGGCCCTTATTGAACTCGGACTCGTACGGAGTTAGACTTATCGATTAGCGCCGGCATTTACAAGCGCTGCAGAAACTTTAGCTCACGTATCGATGCCACGGCTACACACACACATTTGCTTTTGCAATTAGATTTGCTAATTACGCCTAATGAACATGTTCATTAGCAGAGAGAAATCAGACGCATGAATTAGCAGAGTAGCATGAAATACACACTTCATCTTAAACTATTTTAAACAGCATTTTCTCATTGTTATGTAATTATAATGCATGCAATTATGAATATTAATTTAGAGACTATACAGGGATTATTTGTTTATTATTTATTTATATTTGTTATTTAAAAATATCTATCTATCTGTCTGTCTATCTATCTATCTGTCTGTCTATCTATCTATCTATCTATCCATCTATCCATCTATCTATCTATCCATCTATCTATCCATCTATCTATCCATCTATCTATCCATCTATCTATCCATCTATCCATCTATCCATCTATCCATCTATCTATCTATCTATCTATCTATCTATTTATCTATCTATATATCTATCCATCCATCTATCCATCTATCTATCTATCCATCCATCTATATATCTATCTATCCATCTATCCATCCATCTATCTATCTATCCATCTATCCATCCATCTATCTATCTATCCATCTATCCATCCATCCATCCATCTATCTATCTGTCCGTCCGTCCGTCTGTCTAATAGTGATCATAATGTGTTGCTTTATTTTATATCACCAGCAAATTCATCATGAATATATTATAAATTTAATATAATTTAATATAATTTGTAACTTAATATAATGTATTAGAGTTTATTAAAACTACAGGACTCTTGACATATCGCAGTCAGTGTCGCGTTGCTTTCATACGTGAGAACAAAACCAATCAGCCAAAGACACTTCTTTACACTTGACAGAGTATTTCATTAAGACATTGTTTCATACATGATCTCTTTTATTACGACCTGCACCATGAAAATATCACACGTTAATATGTAATATGAGCAGAGGACCGCAGATAAATAAAGAGCAGCTAACACTGTGTCATCAGTTTGGCGTTACACAGGACAGAAAGCTCAGAAAACGTGCCATTAGATGCAGGTTAAGTGGACGCATCGATAAACACGACAGAGATGGAGGGATTGCAGAGAGGACATGGATGTAGTGTCACAGGGAAACACCAGATGTGCAGGTCCTGAAGGGAGTTTGCGGATATTTCCCAATCAGCATTTTTATGTTTTTTTTTATATATTTTTTCTCCTACCCGTTCAATGTAGAGCCAGATCTCTGAGCGGAAAAATCAATCCGGCTAAATGGAGATCAGAGCGTGTGAGCGTCTGTCGTAGCACACGGGAGCCATCGAACCACATCAAAACCTGATGGATGTAGTCAAAGCCCGTTTCATTCCTCCACATCCCTTCAGGTTTATTACCACAATTTATAGGACAATTAAGCCGCTCCTACAACTGTCTAATTTTCCGGAGTGTTACTTCAGCTCAGAATCGGTCCGGAGCGCACAAAGCTATCCCTCTGAAGGGTCCACGGACCTTGATTATGAGGTGTTGGAGAGGATTTGTCCGTGTGAAAAGTCGTATTGTGGGGAAGAAATTGTTGTTGAGAGTATAACAAGAAATACATGGCAGAGTTCAAGGATTTGGTCTTATTTTCAGAAGCTTGTTTATATTGGATGATGTTTACTTTTCCTTGGACTCGCACGAAAGGTTAGGAAAACTTTTAATAAGCTACTCGGGGTCAGTAACCTCACCGCAGATTCCTGCTTTTGTGATGAAATGCTTGCTTTCTTAATACACGTTCTTGTTTTTCTAAAGAAGAAAAAAAAGTTTATTCTCAGATTATTTTCATCTAGTGGAAATTGGTATCTTGAGTTCGCTTCTGAAAGGACTTTCCTTCTCAGCTGATGTTATCAATCAATCCCTCCACTTTCCATATAGATACATTCATGACCATCTAATCCGTTCACCATGGATAAAATTAACGGAGTGTCTATTTACAGCCCGCCTTGTTGGCCGAGGATATTTACACTAACTCGGCCCACTGACGTCTGGTTGGGCCAGACAAAATTACTGAAGATGCTGGATTGGTGACAGTGTCAATATGGCAAATCGACTAGAGTTCGAATCAACATTTTACCGAATTCGAAAATATTCGAAAAGTGGGAATAAAGTGGGTAGGAGTAGGCTGTGCTTTATTGTCCCAATAAGGCGGCATCCATTTAATAATTGTAATAAGTATAATAATTTAAAAATCTGTTATTATTACATACTGTTTATTGTACAACAACACTGTAAATAGTATCTAACACTGTTTATAAGTATAAATAATAGGGATGCATGATATATCAGCCACCATATTGGTATCTGCCGATATATGTTCATTTTTATTATTATCTTTATTGGCACGACAAGAATATTTGGCCTATATATTAAAGCCGATAAATAATGTATTATTTCCTTCAGCTGAGGCACTGTTCAACATGATGCTTTTGATTTGCTTGAAATATGATGGGAATCACTTCAAAAAAGAAAAATACAGTGAAGTCTGTCATATACAGTGCTTAGCATAAGGGAACACACATGTTAAAGCTGACCAAAAAAAGCATTAAAAAATCGTCTTTTGGAAATTTATCTTAATGCCTTAATTTAAAAAATGAGGAAAAATCCAACCTTTACGGACACCAATTTTCTTTGTGAATGAATATTGTATCGTAAATAAATAAATGTTCTTTAGGTTAATCTCTAGGTATGGTGAAGGGTGTGTGATGATGTGTGCTATTTTAACTCCAAAGGCCAAGGGAACTTTCTCAGGATGCATAGTGTCCTGGATCCATGAAATAACTGGCCTTTAACAATAAAAATTTTCCCCTCTATGGGAATGTAACGTAGGTGTTAATCCCATAGGGGTGTCCTGACTTATGCACCCTGTATTTTAAGGAAGAACATTTATTTATTTACGATACATTATTCATTCACAAAGAAAATTGGTGTCCTTAAAGGTTGGATTTTTCCTCATTTTTTTAATTAAGGCATTAAGATCAATTTCCAAAAGATGATTTTTTATTCATCTTTTTAGTCAACTTTAGCATGGGTGTGTTCACTTATGTAGTCTTCACATTATAATGAGAACATTATAATTGTGTGTTTGGGACATGGCTTTTTATTGTGAGACTTTTATTTTTGGAATCAGACTCTCAAAAATTATATAAAAGATTTAAATTTATCAGCCAATATATCGGTTATCAGCTTTCTAATATTAAGAATTAACGTTATCGGCCAAAATTGTTATATTGCTGCATCCCTAATAAAAAGCATCTACCTAATATTTACACTGATTGCAAAGAAAATACAGCTATTTTTACAGTTTAAATAGACTCTACTGCTATTTTCACTTAGTGTAAACATAATCTAGTTGCTATTCACACTTAGTGCAAATAGCCGATGGCTAAGATTAAATCCTGCAATCCTGCCTCACAAGCGTTTGTGTGTTGTGAAAATCCTGATGTCTTCATTCTGTGTGTTTCCGCAGGACCAGGAAGCTGATGAATCATGGAGAGGCTGGTGTTTTATGTGCTGGTGTTCGGTGCTCTGGTGAAGGCTCAGCATTGCCCGGGTCGCTGCATCTGTCAGACCATCTCACCCACACTCACGCTCCTCTGTGCCAAGACTGGACTGCTGTTCGTGCCACCGTCCATCGACCGCAAGACCGTGGAGCTCCGGCTGACCGACAACTTCATCACGGCCATCCGCAGGAAAGACTTCATGAACATGACGAGTCTGGTGCATCTCACGCTGTCACGCAACACCATCAGCCAGATCGCTCCGCACGCCTTCGTGGGTTTGAAGTCCCTCAGAGCGTTACACATGGACGGGAACCGGCTGACGGCCATTGCCAGCGACCAGCTGAAGGGTTTGATCAACCTGAGGCACCTTATCCTGGGCAATAACCAGATTCACCACGTCGAGCTGACGTCCTTCGACGAGTTCGTGTCCACCATCGAGGACTTGGATCTGTCCTACAATAACCTGAGGACGTTACCGTGGGAGGCGATCGCCAGGATGACCACCATCAACACGTTAACGCTGGACCACAATCTGATCGACCACATCGGCGTCGGGACCTTCACGCTCCTCACAAAGCTGGTACGTCTGGATATGACATCAAACCGTCTTCAGACGCTCCCGCCGGACACGCTGTTCCAACACGCGCAAGTCCTGTCGGATCCCAAGACGTCCAGCTCCAACAAGCTAGCCGTGAGTTTCGGCGGAAACCCTCTCCACTGTAACTGCGAGTTGCTCTGGTTGCGCCGCCTGACGAGAGAGGACGATCTAGAGACTTGTGCTTCTCCAGAACACCTGATGGACAAGTATTTCTGGTCCATTCAGGAAGAGGAGTTCATCTGTGAGCCGCCGCTCATCACCAAACACCAGGTCACCAAACCCTACGTCATGGAGGGTCAGGGCGTCACGCTGAAGTGCAAGGCGATGGGCGACCCCGATCCCGCTATACACTGGCGCTTTCCCGATGGAAAGCTGGTGCATAACAATTCCCGCACGATCCTGTATGACAACGGCACCCTGGATATCCTCATCACCACGCTTAAAGACAGCGGCGCCTTCAACTGTGTCGCCTCCAACGCCGCAGGAATCGCCACGGCTGCCGTAGAGGTCAACATGATCCCGCTCCCGCTGTTCGTCAACAACACGGGTCACATGAGGGAGGCGGATCCGGGACTCTCCGACATCACCACATCCACCAAATCCGGCAGCAACGACACCAAACCGCAGAACAAGAGGGTTGTGGTTGAAAACCTGACCGCCAACTCCGCCGTGATCCACTGGCCCTCCGAACGCCACATTCCCGGGATCCGAATGTATCAGATCCAGTACAACAGCACCATAGACGACACCCTGGTGTACAGGTATAAGACCTCATCTTTTACGATACATAAAAACAGACGTGACTAATGAAATGGGCAGCTGCTGAGATCCCCCTATTGTGCCTTTAACTGAAGCACTTAACCTCAGGTTACGCCAATTATTGAGCTGTCTAATCCATCAAGTCATTTAGGATTAAAAGCCACTGCTGAATCCCATTCCAGCTTTCCTGGCTAAATCTAACAGAGCTAGATAGATAGAAGGACAGACAGAACTGATCTCACATTATAAGCATTTATCATTTCTATAAAATAAAAATGTAAAGAAAGATCTCTAGCTATTTTTATAATATCAACAACATTTTTTATAAAGTTTTTATTATCATTAGTATTAAAAATTATTGAAAATCCCCATCATAATAATAATAATAATTATATTTTATATTTACATTTTAATATTTAATTATTTTAGGCAAGGCTATCTATCTATCTATCTATCTATCTATCTATCTATCTATCTATCTATCTATCTATCTATCTATCTATCTATCTACTGTATCTATCTATCCATATCATATAATTGTTATAATATTAATATATTATAAAAATACAATTAAATATATATTATATTTTTTTAAAACGTACACAAATTAAATAATTATTAGTGTAATAATAATATCACATTTACAATTTTAAAGTAAAAATAAAGAAGCAATTAGTATTATTATGATTTATCCACTTTATGAATATATATATATATATATATATATATATACATTCATATAATTATGTAATTATGTAACTCGCAAATAATTAAAATATCAAAAATAAAGAGCCTGTTATTATTGTTATATTTATATAATATTTATGAATATTTATAGTAAAATATAGTAAAGGTAAAACATTATAATTAGATATCTATATAACTTATTTACTTATTTTTCTGTTTATAATAAAATATTATTGTGTTCACAGATCTCCATCAGTGAACTGAATCAGCCAATAGGCGACACTAAAACGGGAGCAAATTTACATAATAACAGGTTGTTTAAAAATCAGCTGAATTATTAATAACCTCAAAGACTCTCAGTAGAGAAAGAAACCTGAAGGTTTAAAGGTCAGATGTTGAAAATGTTAAAAGCCCAGATGTGTATATTGATATTGAACATGGCTGCATGAAATATTATAGATGGATGGATGGATGGATGGATGGATGGATGGATGGATGGACGGACGGACGGACGGATGGATGGAATAAATTATGGATGGATGGATGGATGTATGGATGGAAATGGATGGATAGATGAATGAATATGGATGGATAGAAGAATGAATATGGATAGATGGATATGGATGGATGGATAGATGAATGAATATGGATGGATGGATATGGATGGATGGATGGATGGATGGATGGATGGATGGATTAAGATGGATGGATGGATGGATGGATGGATGGATGGATGGATGGATGGATAGGTGAATGAATATGGATGGATAGATGAATAAATATGGATGGAAAGGTTAATGAATATAGATGGATGGATGGATGGATATGGATTGATGGATAGATGAATGATTATGGATGGATGGATGGATGGATGGATGGATAGATGAATGAATATGGATGGATAGATGGATGGAAAGATGAATGAATATGGATGGATGGATGGATGGGTGGATGGATGGATGGATGGATAGATGAATTAATATGGATGGATGGGTGGATGGATGGATGGATGGATGGATGGATAGATAAATGATTATGGATGGATGGATGGATGGATGGATGGATGGATGGATAGATGAATGATTATGGATGGATGGATGGATTAATATGGATGGATGGATGGATATGGATGGATAGATGAATGATTATGGATGGATGGATGGATTAATATGGATGGATGGATGGATGGATGGATAGATAAATGATTATGGATGGATGGATGGATTAATATGGATGGATGGATGGATGGATGGATGGATAGATGAATGATTATGGATGGATGGATGGATTAATATGGATGGATGGATGGATATGGATGGATAGATGAATTAAAATGGATGGATGGATGGATGGATGGATGGATGGATGGATGGATGGATGGATGGATGGATGGATGGATGGATGGATGGAAGAAATTATGGATGGATGAATGATAAAATCGTAATTATTCCAAACTTGTGACCAGTAGGTCTGTAGATGCCACAGACTGTCTCTGTGATTCAGTGATTTAGTAATTCGGTGATTCCTTGATTCCGTGATTCTGTGATTCAGTGATTTAGTGATTTAGTGATTCCGTGATTCAGTGATTTAGTGATTCTGTGATTTAGTGATTCAGTGATTTAGTGATTCTGTGATTCTGTGATTTAGTGATTCAGTGATTTAGTGATTCAGTGATTTAGTGATTCGGTGATTCTGTGATTCAGTGATCCAGTGATTTAGTGATTCAGTTATTCTGTGATTCAGTGATTTAGTGATTCAGTGATTCAGTGATTCCGTGATTTAGTGATTCCGTGATTCAGTGATTCAGTGATTTAGTGATTCAGTGATTTAGTGATTCAGTGATTCACTGATTTAGTGATTCCGTGATTTAGTGATTTAGTGATTCAGTGATTCACTGATTTAGTGATTTAGTGATTCAGTGATTCAGTGATTTAGTGATTCAGTGATTTGGTGATTCAGTGATTCAGTGATTTAGTGATTCAGTGATTTGGTGATTCAGTGATTCAGTATGAGTGTACAGTGTTCACCCTCCTGCCTCCGACAGCAGACCTGCACTCGGCGCATGTACCGACATAATGGGATTTAATGTCTGCGACGGCAGCACAGCTAGCGAGCGGTAAAACACTTCTGACATTTATTGCCGCTCGCAGAGCCTCACTGCAGGCAACCAGCGCATTACGCTAGAATGATCTGGAAGAATATGCATCTGCTGAGCGCCGCCACGCTTTTAAACACAACACCTTTATCTTACTAAGTGCCCAAAACACACAACAGAGCCGCATTAGGCCATCATTAGACGCTGACAAAGCTTCATATTAAAATGGCTTTTCCCTTTTCGATAAAAATGGGGAAACATTCGGAATGTGAACAAGGCAGAAACAAGCAACTACTGATGACTGCTTTCAAGGGCAAACAGTAATTTTCAGAGGAAGCCGTGAAATTGCCTCTGGTTTATTGCGACACGTTTAGTGTTAAACAGCTTTTGTGTTTGTGAGTCGAGGCGATTGGTCCGCAGTCTTGAGAAACGCCAGACCTTCTGTGAATCAAATCAACCGTAGAGATCTGAAGGGTGACACTCGTATCGTGCAACCCGAGCGAATTTACATAATAACGGGGGGTTTAAAGATCAGCTGAATTATTGATAACCCCACAGACTCTCAGTAGAGATGGAAACGTTCTCCAACAATGAGGCGGGTATCTCAGGATGAGGTTTAAAGGTCAGGCGCAGTCCATGTTGAAAGCCCAGATTAAACTGATATTGAACAGGTCAGACGCATGTGTAGATGTGTGAAAATCAAGCTTTTCCCCATAATTGTGGAATCACGGAAGCTACACCAGATATTTTGCCAAGAGATGTATTATTTATTATTTTTATACATGAATCAGACAGAGAGAAACAGGCATAGCAGAATAAGGCTACAGGTGAGGAGGTCTTCATTCCAGATTTCTCTATTCGGGGGTTGGGTCATTTTGTTGGGTTATTTTTAACCAGGTGCTGGATAGTTTTTTCTGTAACTCAGCTGCTGGGTTATTTTTACTGTCAATACAATTGATGAACCTCTCACACACCTACCTAGTGCTGGGTCAGTGTAACCCAATGTTGGGTAGTCTGTGCCAAACCGGTTAAAACTGGACACTGGTCATTTTGTGTTCTGCTCTGAGAGGAAACTTCCTGAATGAAATTAAGGTTTGTATTGCATTGCATTCATGTGAAATTTGTACTGTACAAAGAGGAAAATGTCTGTGGTCTCACCGTTTACCTTTTTGGTTTACATGTCCGTCTCAGCTGTTTGGTACGCTAACCTTCTACAAACAAACACAGCATAATCTACACTCAAAGTGAATCATGCACGACCAGAGCCGAAACACAACACTATCATGTGTTACAAAGTTGGCGTACGCTCCACTGAGTAGCGCTAGCATCTCAGCTGTGGTCGCGCTATGTGTTGGACAGGTTGAAACTTAAACATCTGACAGACGAGATGGCACAAGGTAAAGCTGATTTTGATGTAACTTTTCAAACATTAATATACTGTTGTCATTTAATGAACTGGAACAGCTTACTGATAGAAGTTTTCTTCCCACAGGTTCCCATTGGCTGCTCCTGTCACGTCCTCAACGTTTACTAAACGTTTTTGAGTATTTTGTGATTTGTAAAAGACTGACTTGCCATTGAATAAAAATATGGTATATGAACTGTTTAAGTGCGTTTTTATTCTTTAAAATGGAAAACTTTCAGTATCAGGTTGACTGACCCAGCACTATGTCAGAAAACAGAAACCAAATGGGTTAATGTATAAAACCCAACAAGCTGGGTCAAAAATAACCCAGGATGTGTTTTCTATGCAATATTTTCCCATCGCTGGCTTGAAAAATAACCCAGAAGTGGTTGTTTTCAACCCAGCATTTTTTAAAGTGCACAGATTTGTATTTTTGTGATGCAATAAAAGATCAGTTTCATTTTTATAATATAGAAACGAAATAACCCTGTGGTAAAAAAGTATATTCCGGTTATCTGGACATAACTATTTAAATATATAACTAAATGTTTTAATGAAACAAATACTGTCGTGATGTATACTTACAATTTTACTATTTATATACAGAATATATATATATATTTTTTTTTTTTCACATTACAGACTTTTTTTGTGTTACAGTAATAAAAATTGAGAGGGTAAAATGCGCTTAATTATCATGGAAATGATGCCACAATGCCAAAATTATTTAATGAATTTGTGAATATAAAATATATTACATATTCAAATATAAATATAAAACTATCATCTTTATACAAAGTATAATTTCTTTTTTT